CAGAAATGAGTTAAAGAAATTAAATCATTCCCATTTTAGGACCAATAAGATTTGTACTGCCAGCTGCCCATATTTGATGGGTACCCCTGTGCCTGCTCTAAATTTAACCTTGTCATTTAGAGATTACAAGGTAGAAATTCCTCAAAGACTAAACCTCCCATTCATCACTTCCAAAACTGTGTATGGCATTGCCCAAGCTGCAAACTCCTCCTTCTTTGAGTCTGCAGTGCACAGAGGAAGGAGGAAGAAGAAAAGGAAAAAGAAAAGTTAATTTACTGTTTCTGAGGCTGGTTTTGGAGATGGGTACCAAGAGCAGCCCTCCTGCCCCAGCCTTTCTGGAAGGAATGCTGTTCACAGGCTCTCTGTGGCAGCAGSGTGGCCATGAGCATGTGCAATGCACCTACATTGTTCTTTGAACCCCAAAATGGGAACAGKTTGTGAACCCAGCACAGATCACACACATGACACTGACATTCAGTTCTTTGAATCCAAGCTTAACCTAACTTAGTTTTTCTTTTTCTTTCTTTTCGTTCCTTTGGCCTAAACRAGCTCATCTGGAGCAGCACAGCAGAGGTTGCCCAGTTCCTCCCACCCCACTGCTCTTTCTGTCCAGCTCAAAGCCTCAAGGTACAGGGGAAGATTTGAGCTCTGCCTCTTCTCCAGCCTTCACACCTCTGCCCACGCTCAGCCAGCACACAGCAGTKTTTTACCAGAGACCATGGGCACAGCCCAGGCTGACACTGAGCAGCTGAAGAGTTTACAAGAGCCACACAAAAATTCCCCAAAACCTTGACAAGCCGTACAACAGCAGAGCATAAAAGCCAAGGTGCAGAGCACTGCTCAGCACAGAGCCTCTCACACCCAAGTAGGTCACAGGAGACACAGCACAAAGTTTTCCCCTTGGTGGAAGAAGAGCCACGTGCTCTTTATGTGGGCAAGGAGCACGCAGTGGAGGCAGCTCTTGCAGCCTGCTGTACAAAGTCACATTCACAATCTTTTTCAGAAATGGTGTCACATGAAAAAAAAAATGGGTTAAAACCTTTCAGCTTCGTGGGAAGGAGTTGGGTTGTTTTAAGTCAGAGTAAGGAAAAATAATTCATTTTAATGATGGCTGTTYAGAGGGTTTCCTGATCAAAGGCAGAGATCACATGAACAGCAAGTCTCTCCAGCCCCCAAATATTCTTWTTGCATTGGTGAAGTTCTCCTGAGGCTAAGCCTGCCAGCCCCCACCACATGAGCTGGCTGGCAGAGGCATGGTATGACTAACCTGGAGCCAAACCCTGCTCTGTGACAAAGCAGGCAGCTGGTGACAGTGGGGCCAGAGCAGGTCAAACAGCAGAGTTGGAACACTGCTGGCCAGTACCCTTGCTGTTAGATTTTGGATTTTTTTTTTCTGGGTCAGTCTGATGGTCCCACAAGATTTAAATGCTATTTTGTTCAGCTTCTCATCAAAAAATGACTTATTGGTAGATTTTGCCCATTCTCCCAAATTTCCCCAGTCTCCTACAGACTCACAAAAATTCTCTAATACCCCTAAAATCAGRGAAATCAGTCCTAAAATCCTACTTCTTCACAGTATTAAAAAGGGAGTGACAGCAATGTCTGCCTCCAGCTCTTTGCTGGCCTCAGCTACAACACTCTTACAAGCAGGAGCAATGATCTGTTGAGCTGGGCAGGGGTGGAGATGGCTCAGGAGGACGACACCAACAGCAGCACATCCCGGGCTATGAGTATACACCATGATACCAGACTCTCCAAAATAGGGACACCAATGACCTGTACCAAAGGGCCCCCCACATTGCCCAGCAGCATAAGTGTTATTTTTTTTTTAATTTTTTTTTTTTTAGTTTTCCTCTAATAGGAGCAAAATTAATTCCATACCAACAGCCACACTACATGCAGCTACCTCTGACACTGGTGAAAACCAACCTTGCTGTTCTTTGAACGTTTGCCTGGCATCTTCCTGGAGCACTTGACCTACATCTTCCTCCCACTCTTCCTTTTGCTTCTGTATATTGAAATTAACTACTTAAAGGAGTTATCTGCTTTTCTGTGCTTAGCAGTAACACAACTCTAATGATACAGAGAAAAGCCTCATTGAAGTGTTCAGCCCATGACATCTACCACAAACCTTATTTATAAAGCAAACCCCCTCTCCCTTTAGAGCAGCTCATGGATTGCTAAGGCCCTTWTATATTGCACTTCTCAGACTGGAGAATTGAAAACTTGAAAACTCTTAATTGAAACTTGAGCAGTAAATGGTCTCTGCAGGCTGTAGGAGCTAATGAGCAGATTCCATTTGGTTTGATCAGGAAATATTTAAGCAGAGCTGCAGACGCGTTTCATCAGCTCTCTCCCCTCCATCCCAAACACATCCATGACAGCCAGGGAGGAGCAGGGCTCTGAGCTCCACTGGATGGGTGTTGGGTGCCCATCCAGCAGCGTGGGATGCTGTCTGTGATCATCACCCAGYGCTGCTGCCTTTGTCAGCCACCACTCATCAGCAAAACTCGCAGCTGCACCGTGGCAAAACCTTCTTCCCACGTGTGYTGGGCACAGGAAGCAGCTTTTGACAGACTCCCAGGCAGGAGCCTGCTGGCGTTCACACTGTGGCCTCCCGGTGCTGTTTACCCCGTTACAAGTAAGCAGTTTGCACTAATGGCATGCATGGCCTTAAAGAACCATTAAGTGTTATAGAAGCATTTSAGCTAATTAACAAAATCCACATCAGAAAGGTCAAGTTCCTGCTGTCCTTCCTGTTTCATTATGAATAAAAGATCAAGAGGTTAAAAACTGGCCTTTCAAAGGTGACCAACACCTAAACACCTTGGCRGTCTGGCCCCGAGCAGTTTGTGTGGGGCTGTGCAGCTCCAGGGTCAGAGCCCAGATCCTTTCAGAATGACATTTGCTGCAAATTCTGGGTTTGTTCTTGCAGACACAAACTTCCTGTGCCCTCRGCAGCGGCCCCATTTGCTGGCACTCTGAGAGGTGACCTTAGCAGGTGGCAGAGCAGGGTCACAGAGTCTAAGAAAATGAAATTTGATCTTCTGAACGCACCTGAGAAGTCCAACGCTTTTCCACTGCACAGTGTGACTCAAAGCTCAGCCAGGGACAGAGGTGGGATTAGAGCAAGAGGACATGATCTTTTTCGGTATTTTTCCCAAACTATTTCCACAAGATTGAAACACACAATACCACAAAAGCCATGAAGAGCCCTTGTGTACAATGGGAGAACAATTCCCATGAGAAGATCGTAGGTGTGGGTACTGCCCAGCCCAGACACGTCTTCTAGGTCAAGCAGTGGGTGTCCTTGCTTGTCCAGTAAAGGAATCCCATATTCACACCAGTCTTCAGCTGCCAGCATGGCAATTCTGCCCAGCCCACCCACTGAGGGATGAACAGGTAAAGCTTTGTCACCAGCACAAAGTTACATTTTGGACCYTCCTCACATACACAGAAGTGGCAGAGGAGAATTTGTGGAGCTGTTTCTGCAGACAGAAGCAGGAGGTTGGATTTAGCCAGGCAAGCACTTTGCTATGCAAAGAACATTTTCATGTGAAATTGGTCAGGTTTGAGTTTGAACTCAAAGCCCAGTGCGAGGGATGGTTATGTTGCTTTGGCGATGATCTCCTTTCCAGGTTATTTAGTATTCAGAATCTTGGAAAAGAGAGCCAAGCTACCTGCTATTTCCTAAAGAAAAATGTAAAATGGCATTTTATTTTGATATTTCAATAATATTTTTTCAAGAGAGATGATGCACAGGGAAAYACAAACCCTTCAGAATTCTTTTCATACTTTGCAGTTTGCTGTTTTGTGAACAAATTTTGGCTTTGTTACCCAACAAAACATAAATTCCTTGTGCATCTTGATCACCTTGCCAGAGCACAGAAGATTCCATAGCCATTAGCACAGAATCAGCATCCCTTGGGAGGTCCTTGCAGAGATCCTGACACTGTGGTCATTACACATTCAGTGGCCATACAGCCAGTGTGATCCATTAAAGCTTGCAGGTACAGCTGAACACYGGATAAAGCAGAGGAGTGGAATTGCTATTGTTTTAAGTCATTTTCCTTATGAAAGATTATTTCACAGGTATCCTTAAAACTGGCATTTAGGCAATTCTGAATGAGACCTCCATAAACTCCCTGATTACTTGCTCTTTGCTGACTTTCTCACTGCCAATAATTATTGTGGTTTGCCTGTCTCCCAGCAGAACCTTTCTTACTTTCCTAATTAAAATTCCTTGTGGGCATCATCTAAGAACTCGCAATCCTAAAAACTYGGGCCATTGCACAAACCAGATCCAGCTCATACCTAATGTGAGCCCATTGCGATGGAGTCAACAGCTACACCCAAAACCAAAGCCCCAAATCCTGTGAATAGCTCCTGGGCTCCTCCAGCCTGCCTTTCTCCCACTGGGATTGCTCTCTACCAAACCTCCCTGGGGTTTCCACCAATGGAGTTTTCAACAAACTTACCTGGGCTTTAAAAATCTTGTTTTAAGGCCACATCCTGATGCTTCATCTGCATTTTGCTTCTCCCCTCCCTTAATTATCACTGCACTAATGAATGGTGGCATCCCTGGGGCTGAGTCCCACCAGCATCACAAGCCATGACCCCCTTAAGCATCTCTTGGCTAAGCTAGCTGTATTTTGCTGGTTTAACCTTTCTTCTCCAACACCCCAAATATTTTTGCCCTTCTCACAAGTCTTAATTAGCTAAGGAAAAGCTCCAAACCCCAGTGATGCCCAAACCTGAGCACAGCCACTGATGAGGAATATGTAACATCATGTGGTAGTGGGTAATACCATGAAAATGCCCATTTGTCTGGATAACTGAGATTCATTCCAAATTCATGCCTAACATGGAAACTAACACACCACCCTAATGCCAATTATTAGCTTCAAAGGCATCAGCACAGACTWATGCTGCAGACAGATAATATCACACATCCCTATATTAAAGCAAACRCAAATGATTTCATTTCATTTCAGATTCACCTGGAAAATCCTGGCTCTCCCATACTCTTGTGCTGGTCTCTCCTGGGAATGGCATCAGCTGTGGTCACCCATCCTTGTTCCATCCCAGATGTCACCACTGCCCATTTGCAAACCTGGGCTGGTGGCACCACACCCTGACCAACAGTCAAGGCCATCACTGCAACRTATTCCAATAGCAGTTCCTGACTGTATTAAAGTGAAAATAAACCTCTTGGGGAAAAGTTAATTATTAATTTCAGAGATTAAAAACCCCTAACCAATCTCTCACCCAAGATACAGAGGAGTTCTGATCTGATTTTGTATTAATAAAATGAGCATCAAAGGAGTTTTAAGGGATTTGGGCAGYAAAATTGCAAGGTATCTTCTGGTTCAATTCCATTTTAACAAGGCATTTTATTTCTCAGTTTAGGAGCATTTCAGTAGCTCTCAGAGTTTTAACTAGCTTGTTTYGTGGAATAACATGTTGCAACATATGCTGTTTGCCTTGTGGGTGACAGGCAGTCTGTTCTGACTAATCCACRTAGGTCCTGCTGGAGAAACCACTCAGGTCAGTGGGAATTGTCCAAACTGAAACCAGCAGCTTGTGCAAACTCTTATATGGGCTTGGCTGATTTCAAGATTTCACTCACATTTGCTCTACCTCCTGTCAGARGACCCGATCTCAACTACTTGTGTTTCTGCATCTTTCTCTTCTGTGAGCAAAACATCCAGGGAACCACTCCCAGCCCTGTTCCAGGGCCATGATGAGCTACAAAGGATGATGAGGAACCATGCTGGAGTCCTTCATGAAGTCCTACACCATGTGAATTATGTGGAAATGCAAGGAAGGAGTATAGTGCAGTTAAAAGAGAATATCTGCATAATGTGTATTTACCTTTCATTGCCAAGAATACATTCCATGAATATTTTTAGGTGCCTTTTCGAAGGTTCCTGGCTTGTGTTCTTTACAAAGTGACTTTCAACACGATCTTGTGMGTCTGTTTTCATTCATTAAAGGGTTTGTTTCCTCATATGATAAAAACAAATCTGGCAGCTGACATATCAGTGCAGAGCAGTATGAAGTGCCAAGCCATCATCAAGGTGTTTGCAGTTTGAGGCTGGATCTAGACCTCACAAAATATTCCACAACCTTTTCTCCTCTTTCCCAGCTAAAAATTCTTTGCAAAAGCWACAGCAGTGCCTTCAGCATGCAAAATGTGAGAAGAGAGTGCAAATTCATGGGCAACTCCAGCAGGATGCAGGCAGAGGGGTAATACCTCCATAAACTCATGCATCAGCTATTCAGCTCCCCAGTGCCAAAGCACTAGTTGTAGAAAACCCTCATGCCATGGGGATGAAAGCAATGCAGAGCTATAAAAACATTACAAGGTTATATATAAAGTGCTGCAAAACCATAGAGTTTTGTTTATATTCTCTCCTGATGCATCCTGTAGAATTCTGTATGAGCTTTATTGGTTACAAAGCCAGCAGAATTTTTATAGTCACATTAAATTCTAGAATTCCCTCCAGTACTTGGATGTCAGAGGGACTCTTGGGGGTTGCAGTGTACATTAGGAGTGGCTAAAGTCTGTGGATGCCCCTTTGTACATGATACAAGTGCTCTAAGGGTTAACTTGGAGTGAAAACTCACCTTAGGACAGTCAACACAAGGGYTGCATTTCATTTAAATGCCCCTAAACTGTGAAAAGAGTATTTCTTGTAACTTTATCAAAACAGCAAATTTCACTCCATCAGAGGTAAAGCCACCAGCTAAGCATGCACAACATATCACCTAGACCAGCCCATGGAATAACAGGGGAATGTTTCTCATCTTCTCCCAAACTGTGACTTGGTATTTCCATCACTAACCTAATGTCTTTTCATCTGTTACATACCCATTTCTGTTGGTTTTGTCCCTAAACATTTATTGTAGTTTTTAGAGGACCCTCAAATAACTACTCAGCCTTATMCCTTGGTCTCATTCTAGAAGAGATGTGTAAAGGGAATATTTTAATTATGGGGCGCTTGCTCCATTAAGACCCCATGAAATGCCAAGATTAAATGTATTTAGCCACCACTGGGAACAGTCACCAAGAGACCAATATTAATCCATAGTAATAGTAATCCCATATTTCAAGATAAAAGCAAAATGTACATTTTCCAGCTCRTCAAGTTGAACTTCCTACAAAACACTGAAACCTAGAAATACCTGCTCCTAAAGAGGGAGCAGAAACTCGTTGTGCAACACATACATTGAGTGGGAAACAATATKAATTTACAGTCCAGAGACACCCACAAACTGCTCAGAAATAAATCATCCACAGAACTGATTCAAGGGACAGTATGGAATAARGAATACCCTGCAAACAGTTGTTGGGACTTAAGGTAGGCACAGGCAGCAGCCTTCTCCTAGAGATGTAGAGGAGAGCACGCCGTGGATCTGCCAGCCAGGACACGAGTTTCCTGGCCATGGCACCACACCACAGGGCATGCTGGACCACGCTGGACCACACAGGGCTGAGGCACAGGCTGCTCCTTCCTTGGAGCAGGAGGAGCAGAGAGGCAGCTGCCTGTTTTCAGACAGGCTTTGGTGTGAGCACAGACATGCCCAAGCCCTGCCCAGCACAGGGTCAAACRCTGCGGGTCTGTGCTCGGTCTCGCAGCAGCCTGGGTTGTGCTCCTGTCCACAACTGCTGTGTCCAATCAGCCCACTACCTTYCTACCTCCTCCTTTTTAATTTCCCAGTAAACTGCTGGGAAGTCTTTAAAATACATCAACTCTATGCAGATTATTTTTAAATAAAAAATATTGGCAAAAAGCTGAATGGTGGCCTAACTGGTAAGCCAGGATTTGGTCAGTATGAAATCCTTATCTCCAACTTTTGATGCCACCCAGGACACTGGTGGCATTCCAGGCTGAAAAGGCACATTGCCAGGTCATGTCCAGCATTTCCTCCTCCAGAATACGACCAGAAAAAACTTTTTGTCTGATTTTCCTTATTTCTGATTATTCAGAGATCACTGGGGAGAATGAGTTGTGGTTTTCCATCTTGGTTTTTGGTTTTTTGCTGTTGTTGGTTTGGTTTTTTTCCTYGGTCCTGACTGATCTACAAAGCACCACTACACACCCCATTTTCCATGATCCAAACTTGAAGGTCCTATTTCTGCCAGTCCCAGAAAGCAGACCCGTACAACACCCAGCTGAAAGCGTGTCACATCTCTTAACACATCTTTTGACAGAAAGGTTTGTTGTGTGAACTCCAAAGCACATGAAAACGTTTTTGCCTTCACAGATCTCAGCAGGAGTTGCCTTGTTTTTGTTTTCACATCATAAAATTCTGCCAATTATTTTTAAACAGAAAATGARCCCAATTAGGAGAATGAGAAAGGAGGAACCCAAAGACTGACACATACAAGTTTGACCCATGCTGTCAGAACTTGCATTTAATGGTTGAGGTCCATTACCCATTTGTGCAAGTCCTGACCGAGCCCTTCGTGCTCCAGCTCTCCCAGAGATGTACCCTGGCTCTGTGGTAATAAGAGCTCTGCTGAAACTGAGCCAAAGCCCCAGACTTCCTTTCACAAAAGATGCAAAAACAGATTCTACAGAACACCTGTGTAAAACATTCTACCCCTTTTGCTTTGCTTTTTTCATGGGGCATGAAGGCAAAATTTAAGTTTTTGTTTCTCTGTAGTTGATTTCAAAACACACCAGTGGGAAGACTCACAAACTCAGAAGCAAATATCAGTGTGGGTGTCCAATTGCTCTTTTGGACAAAGTCAGCAGAAGGAGTAAGTGAATTTTTCCCTGTGCACTAGACATGGTTTATTACAGTGGGTGTGAAGGACGGCTGCAGAGAGAGATCAAAGCACCAGCATTATACAGAGACATTAGCTKAAGGTTTATCATACCTCTCATGGGGTGCAAAACCATTTTCCTGTGGTCAGTGGGGACCTCATGACCTCTCACAAGAGTTGACCACAGCATCCTGGTCAAATACCAATAGTTCATTACATTTTGGCTTTAAGCACCACTGCTGTGTGAACCAACCAAKGGAACCTCTGGTGTTGGGTCTGGAGAGCCCCATCAACCCTGAGTGCACTTGGCTTTCAGTGAGGAAAGGTGCAAGGGGTAGTGATCAGAAAGATGAGATGATTATCAGCTATTTAGGTATTTAAGGCAATCTGTAGGTAGATTTGGCTCTTTCAGGAACAAAGCTGCAATGGAGGGTGAACTCTCCTCAATTGCTGGGTGAGCATGAGCTTCCTTTCTGCACCACGATACCCACGGCACTCAGGATTGCCCCTGCAGACAAACTGGCCTCCAGTTGCTGCCTTTTAATCAGGACTGGGCTCGCCAAGTATTTTGATTGGCAATACCCCAGGAGCAGGTTTCCTGAATACAATCACTTTCCTTTTTCATAGTGTGTCAATAAAGGGAAAATGAACAGCAAGTTGTTCCTTTGAAGCTGAGATTCCGAGGTGAATAAATATGAACATGCTATCGATGCTGTTAACACACATTCCTCCCAAATACCATGGCAACATCATAAAAAAGGCCATTTTCAAGGCCCCCACACCTTGCCCAAGCCCAGTTCTTGTCCCCTCTCCACACGGATGTACAGTGCCTTTCCCAGGGGAGGACAGGAGGTCCCTAAGGAAGCCAGCAGCTTTACCACTGATTTCCACCTAAAATGCTGCAAAACCTCAGCATTAACAGCACAATGTAAAGTTAGTTAGCACCAAAGCTTTTCATGTATTTGCACACATTCTGCTCTGGCTGAAGAGATACTCATATATATTCTAGAAAGAAGAACTGACATTTACTGGTTCAGGCCATTCTTAGGATAAACTCCCAACAACATACCCAATCCTGGCTCCAGGAAGGCATCAGTGACACTAGGAAAAGTCTGGCCCTATAAATCATATATACAATACAGCCATAAATTCATAATAGTTCAACTCYTATATCTTAATTCAAATTTTGAGCAGAACTCACACAATTCTTACAGCAGTYTGTATCAAATGACCATAGAAGGAGCAGTAGGTATCTCCAAAGAAGCTATCTGCTGTTTCACTGTGCTTCGTTAGCTCCG